AAGGAGGATACCCTACCTACCGACCTACCTAGCTAGCTCTACCTCTATATAATTTACGAATACTCACAAAATCCGTGGGCGTTTTACGTGGAGGATCGTTATTTTCCAAACGGAAAAGCACGATCTTACGTCAACAATGATTCGTCTATTTACTACGATATTTTACACAACTTAGAAACACGTTTGGTTTTCATCAAAGCGTATCTACAATATACCATATATCATTAAACTTTTCAAGGGCTAATTGTTTGTCATTGACGTCATTCTTTTTTAAACTTATTTGTTCACGTAACATATAAGAAATTAAAAAGAAAGGCAATAAAGAAAGATAAGAGAACATATTTTCTAATTGTAAGATTGCTACCTTGCAATCTCGATCTTTTGTAGACACATCGTCGTGTCCATCGATCTTCGAGGATTTATGGAAAAAAAAAAGGAAAAAAAAGGAGAAAAAAAAAAGAAAAAAAAAGAAAAAAATTAAAAGAAAAAACAAGAAAAAAAAGAAAAATAAAAAAAGAATCTTATCGAGATAACAACACGACGCGAAGCCGACGATGACAACAACGACGTGCACGATGAATCACGCGGGTTTACGAGGGAAAGGGGAGGGTAAACAGAGTCGAGTTAATTCGAGGCGTAAGCGAGTGGAACGATTAACATATTGCCCCGACGACTCTCTCTCTTTCTCTCTCTCTCTCTCTCTCTCTCTCTCTCTCTCTCTCTCTCTCTCTCTCTCTCTCTCTCTCTCTTTCTCTCTCTGTCTCTCTACGTAGATATTACCAACGTCGCCATCGTGACGTGGCAACGAACTAAACGGCAACCATAACGCAACGCAACGCAACGAAACTTGATTTTCATCTTTATGTAAATCGATGTGATATTTTATTTTTTTTTTATTTTTTTTTTTTTTGTTTTTTTTTCCTTTTTTCCCATCATCAAAAAATTTTTTTGATAAATTCTTCCTAAAAGCTTTTGAGAAAATGCATCTGCATCTTTTCATTTTCTTCTTTCCTCTTCTTTTTTTTTTTTATTTTCTTTTCTTTTCAGAATGAAATCTGTACGACGAGTTATCGATCTTTCACGATCTAAGATAACCTACGTAATGTCGTAATTTTCAAAAGAACGTCAATCCAATGTAAATCTATTCTTCCTTCCTTCGGAATAACGTGACGAACGAGAAAACACCACGTCTATATGTGTATATGTGTGTGTGTGTGTACCTGTGTGTACTTTTCTTTTTTTTTTTTTCTTTTTTTTTTATTTTTGAAGAGTTTATCGGAATCTCACAGTCTACGAATAAAATTCCCTATCTCTTTTTCTTCTTTTCTCTTATCTCTCGCTAAGGTAATTGCATTCGCAACAGCGAGTACAAAGTTTGCAATTATCTGCATTTATCTTTCTGACCGATTAATTATAGCGAGGACGCTTCCTCGAAAATGAAAGCACGGTATTGAATAAATTATAATATCTACTTTCTTCGCGGGGCTACAATATCTACGAAAAAGGAAAGGGGGAAGAAAATAAAAAAGGAGAAGAAAAATGTAGAAAAATGAAGGGAAAAAAAAATGGAAGAAAAAAATAAAAGATCGATGAGATTTCCTTTCTACAGAGAGGCACACAGACTTCGACATCTTTTAATAGAAAAGATACGATAGGGATAACACCCAGTTTTCCCAACGAGGTCGTCCGTTAAATATTCACCACCGACACCCCGTCGTTAGACACCTATTTTCACTGTGGCAACTGTTTTTAGCCTTACCAGCTCTCTCCTATGCTTCTATGTAGATCTAGGAAATTCGCCGTCGTCGACGGACCAGCAAAACTCCGTGTCAGCTCTGGGTTCTTAGAGTGTAAAATAATTGGACGGCCGAGTGACGTTTGTCAGGTAACACGAACGATGAGACACGCTCCAGAACCGAATAAATTTCCAGTGAATGTTAACTGCTCTTCGTGAAAATCTTCACGGTGCGTTAACTTTAAAGAAAATTCGATCTTCTCTGTCCTGAGACCATTGAACGTCTGAAAAAAAAAAAGGAAAAGAAAGAAAGAAAGAAAGAAAATAAAGAAAAGAAAAAATTATTTTTATTAGATATTTATATCGAGAAAGGATCGATCGATAATACCGCCTCGAGTTCTCTTCGTCGATTCTCTAAACCAATTCGTTCGTTCTAGTTAAATACTTTCTTTCATTAACTATCTAATTTTCTTCTGAATGAATCGGAGATATAAGAAAAAGAAAAAAAAAAAAAAAAGAAAAAAAAAAGAAAAAGAGAAAGAAAGAAAAAACAAAGTCAAAAATCATTTTATTTCGTAGATATAGTTTGTGCTAACTGTATTCGATGGAATTTAAGTAAGATGACGACGGTGACGTTGTTGAACGCGTCGCAAAATTCAACGGCACACGATACTTGGCTTTTATCCAGGACGCCGCACAAAAGCATTTTTCTTTCTATAACGTCAGTACACCTCCGAAGGAAAAACAAATTTACGAGGAGGTATACCTACGTTTAATAATGATGATCTCTTTTTGAGATTCCTCAAAGGACTTTTTGTTTTTCTTTTTTTTTTTTTTGAAGAGAAGCTCGTAATGTACAAAAATGAATCATAATTAATGGACGATTAATTTCTTTTCTCTTTGTTTTTCTTTTCTTAATCGTTATTACCCTACGACGAAAGAAAGGGAAAAAAATTTATATTCCTACCTTTTAATTCGGAATTTCGATCGAATTCCACTACGTTCTATCGTTTATTTCTACGAAAGATAGAAAGGTCACGTGTCACCCGGTCACGTGCACTTCATGGTGCTTCGAGTTACTACTAGCGGGAAAACAAACGCATCCTTTTCTTTATAACGATAGTTACTGCGTTCTTATTATTTCATCCTCGACAATAGTTATTGCATAATGAATGAACCGAATGAACTTACGACGTTCGTTCAATTTCTTTTCTCTTTGCATTCTTGCAATTTTTCAAACATGCAACGTTGTGCGAGATACCGTTTAATCGAATAAATCAATTTTCTAGTGTTTGATGATACCGTGTGTAAACATTATATCTGCCAACGATCTCTATCTTTCTCCCTCTTCCTCTTTTTCTGTCTATCTCCCTCTCTCTCTGTCTATATATATATATATGCATACCTATGTACGTAGTCATATAATAAGATTTAGATATAATTAAAAAGAAGAACAAAAGAAATTCTTTAGAAAGGACAATTATTTTTTTTTTAATGGGAACGAATAAAAGAGATTAAAGGGATGAACCATAAAAGAATATGAGAAAGAGAGAGAGAGAGAGAGAATGAAACGAATGATAAGGGAAGAAGACCAACACCAGACTATATATTAGAAGCGGATCACACGAATGACAACATGCTTTATTTACGTAGCCTGCTTTCTCCCCCCTCTCTCGCTCTCTCTCTCTTTTTTATACTCTTTTTCTTAGGATATCATCTCTCGAGTATTCTTAACGTAAGTACTCATATACTATCATATCGTATTAGCATTTTCCCCACCTTTTGCTACGCCTATTCTTACGCTCCCTAGATAAAATATTTTTTCTTCCTTTTTCTTTTTTCTTCTTTCTTCTTCGAGACTAATTAAAGCTTCGTTAATAAACGAGGGTAAGAAATCGTATTGTGCGTAAACACATATTGCTGACAACAGATGATAACGCATCATGCGTTACATATCGAGTTCCCAAGCGTATAATTTTTTCACTCTTCTCATCGTTCGTTTTATACAAACAATAGATTTCTTCTTTTTTTTTTTTTTTTCTTCTTTTTTTCCGTTTGTTTTTTACGATTATATACGCGACGTATAAGAATTTTAAACGTTCACGCTTGAATCGTTATAAACGTCCTGCCAACGTCTTTGAAATTTTTCGATACGTTGACTCATCGAATTATTTTCCAACGCTTTTTCATGTTGCCGATTCACGTTGCCGGCACTTCTTCTTGTTACACGGCATCTGCAGAAAAATATATTTTAAGAGCTGGAATAGGAATCATTATTAAACGATCAATGTTAATTAAACCCTTTTAAAATATTCTTCTTCTTTTATATACATATATATATTACATTTAGTTAATCCTATCTAATCTATTTTATTTATTTATATATATATCAATTATTATTCTTGCTTAATATAGTAATTATATTCTATTATCAGTCGATAAATGATGGATGAAACCTCGTTCGATTAAACATCGATAGGCCGTGACGATGCAATTTTCATCGACAAAACATGCTTGCAAATGTTCGTAGCGTTGTTCAATTGATTATGCATAAGCCTTTCTCGTGAGTTCGCACATCATCTCCGTGGTTATCGCTTAGAAAAGGAAACTGTACGATGGATTGGAAAAAAAAAAAAGAAAAAAAAAAAGATCGAGAACAGTCCTATCTAAAAGAAACTACAGTTTCTTCGATTATTCCTTCGCGTCGTTGTCGTCGACGTCTCGTACGTCCTCTTATTCGTAACCGAAATAAACACAAACGCGGGCACGCACATCTCGTTTCTCTGCATCTCTAATCTTACGAGAGTGTTGACAAACACTTTGAAAATATATACGAAAAGGGGAGATACGAATTCACTTTTCTCAAAGGAATTAGAAAGTTTAACGTACGAGGAAAGACCAAATGCGCAATAAGTACGTCGATTTAAAAATCAAATATTGATGACAAGAGAGAGAGAGAGAGAAAGAGAGAGAAAGAAAGAAAGAATATCGACGGGAAATTGAAGTTCGCAAATAGGTAGTTCCCCTTACATATTACGTTCGAACGACGTAAAAGAACGACAAACGTAAAAGAGAAGAATCCAATGATGCGAACGAACTTGGCACGTTTAATTGGACGTTTACGTACGTATATACTAGTTGCAAGTGACGTATCAGATACTAGATGACATGACGAACGATCTGCACATGCTCGAGGGGAAAAAAACTAAAGGATAATGATCGAAAAATGATGATGCATATTACATACGGACGGTAATCGACCGAA